TGAGAACATCATGCGAACATCTGCTCCACACGCCCTGCTCCAGCTCTTTTTTGTTTCTAACATCTTAGTTTTCCACTATGATGGGCAATGCTCACAGCGAGAGTTTAAATCATCCTTCTCTGGAGTACCATTTTCATTTTAGTGTGCTTTCGACCAGCCGGAGATAAAGGTGACTGTCCCGGAAATGCCAATCATACCGTACAGGTAAGATGGAGCCAAATGATTCAAATAGAAGCTCATGATTTCCAGACCATGATATTTTTGCGAGAGAGAGTGAGAGAAATGACTTAATGTGTCGAGAGGGAAGTGCACGATGAGCGAAAAAGGCGTTATAAGAGGTGTCACACGAAGGGCCATCGCATACCAGTATCAGTACCTGATTCAGCAGTAAAGTATTGAAACGCTTCTGAAGAGTAAAATTGCATGTGATTTACAGCGCCCACAGGTTCAATAGGGAATAGATTACATAGATTTCATTTTCACTCATTTTTTGGCATTCCCATAGGCGTGTAGCGAAAATGAACCTCAGTTTTCTGGACCACGCATGTGCCCCTAGATCATGCACGGAACCCTCCTCAAAAGGCGCTCCACGATCATAACGAACTCCTTTGTAAATATTGCGAGTCAAACTTCTATTCCCTGATATCTGAACCATTTTAATGTTGTCAGAGGTGGACCTACTCGACACAGCAGCAATGTGTGCAATTCACGTATAGCGGATGTGGAGGCAGTGAAAATAGGTGAGCAGTTTTAATTTGAACTACTCAAAAAACTATTCTCACGGTGCCTAAGAAGGCTAAGTACTGCCAGTGCACAATTCGATTGAATGCCATGATACCAAAGTGAGGGCACGTCATAAGCCTGATATCTTTAGCGAGGGAGTCGTATTCGGTCGCTGGAGAGAGGACGGGATGGTATTCGCTCCTGAGAAATGTTTTGCTTGTTGACCGTTCTCGGCCGTTCGCCGGCAGTGTTCTCGAGGAAAAAAAGTGGGAGAACTTTTGAAAGAAACACTACGTAAATGTAGTGAGAGGGAGGGGAGAGTTTAGCAAGCTGCTAAGCAGGGTAGGAATGCGCCCGAATGGGGTCAGGGACGACGAAGGAGGTCGTTTTCTGCCGAATTTTTCCTCAAAGGCAGGATGCGCGCAGACCGTCGCC